CAACACTGGAAGTTTTTAAGAAGAGACTGGACAGCCGTTTGTCTGAAATGGTGTAGGGTTCCTGCCTGGGCAGGGGGTTGGACTCGATGACCTCCAAGGTCCCTTCCAACTTTATTATTATTATTATTATTATTATTATTATTATTATTATTATTATTATTATTATTATTATTATTATTATTATTATTATTATTATATACTGGTTGTCCTCGACTTACAACTACAATTGAACCCAATATTTTCATTGCTAAACAAGGCAGTTAAATGACTTTTGCCCCAAATATGACTGAGTTTGGACCTTTCTTGACACAGCTCTTAGATGAAATCACTGCAATTGTTAAGTTAGTAACAACTAGTTAATTAGTTAAGTGAATCTGGCTTCCCCATTGACTTTGCTTGTCAGAAGGTCGCAAAAGGTGATCACTTGACCCTGGGACATTGCAACCGTCATAAATACATGCCAGTTGCCAAGTGTCCAAATACTGATCACATGACCATGGGGATGTTGCAACAGTCATCAGTGTGAAAAATGATCAAAAGTCACTTTTTTAAAAAAATGCTATTGTAACTTCGATCGGTCACTAAACAAATGGCTGGAAACTACCTATGCCAGTAGACATGCTGGCTAGGAAAAACTTCTAGCATTAATTTGGGGAAAACTGGATCAAAACTAGGTAAGCTACGGGTGGTCCTATAGCATCTTTATTTCATGGACATCTGGAAGGTCATACGTTGCTTACTTTTGCTCTTATGAAGCTTACTTTCGATAAGAAAATAGGCTGGGATATAAAGCATCCAAATGTGTTTTTATTTTTACATCAAGGATCTCGCAAAACACCATTTGGCAAAACAGCTTTGAAAGTAGTGGGATTTTTAATTGTATTTCCCAACAGGCATGAAGTTCTATTATTAAAATTAAAAAACAACATTAATTTAAAATAATACAACCTGTACTTGAAAGATTTTGGGATCTCTGTCTTTCTAAGCATAGTCATTTTCCTTTCTTCTAGAACAGGGATAGGCAACCTTGGCTCTTTTATGACTCGTGGACTTCAACTCCCAGAATTCCTGAGCCAGCATGACTCAGCTTGGAAATCTCTCCCTTTCCCCTCAGCATGGCTGGCTCAGGAATTCTGGGAGTTGAAGTCCACGAGTCATAAAAGAGCCAAGGTTGCCTACCCCTGGTCTAGAAGGACAAAATCTTGATTCTAATTACTATTATATAACTAGAGAAAATTAGTCAATTGAATCTGATTAGTATACCATACAAAACAAAGTTTATGTCTGGCAGAGTTGGAGGGAGAAATTTTTTGACAAGATGAAGATGCCACAGAAGAGATCCAGGCCAAATAGCACATGCTTGTTTTCACCAATATGTAGCAGAAGGTTTCTATCCTTGGCTGTAGACAGATGCTTAAACCTAGCAGGTGTAAATAATATATCTGAATTTCTTAATAACATCATAGGCCAGAATTCTAGGCTGCAATTTTTCCCTTTGTGTGCTTAAAGTGGGCCATCCAAATTGGCCCATTCTATACGTAAAATATGCAGTGTTTATATCTAATTGAACAACCCTGTACTTACAGCATTGTTTAACACTGCACTGCTTGAGACCATCAAGGAAAATATGCCCGTTAGATAATTATGTCTTTATAACACATGCGTTGATGAAAATGCAAAAAATAAAAAAGATACAACAGACATTAAGAATACTGTTTCCAATCCAAATGGGTCTCAACAATAAACTGCAGCTAATTGCGGTTTTATAAATAATGGCAAATTATGCTGAGCTGTAGGAGTTGCTACCAATTTCAGTTTTAAATACTGTACTAAGTATGTAGCAGTAAATGGATCAGCTCCAATTTAATTGGGTCCTGAATAAGCGGGAGAACTCAAGTGTCATCAGATTACATGTACAAAAATTATTTATTTATTTAAGGAAATCTATAGGGCCGCCTGATTCACTCTCAGTGACTCCAGGCGGCTTACAAAGATGAAAGCCCAATACCACTGCAATAATAAAAAAAAAACCACGAGTCAAATTAGTTTATTTTATTATTATTATTACATTACTTTTACAAGATCGACTTTCAGACAAAGTTTTGCTGGAGCCGTTTCCCATTTCAAAAGAAACCAATTGATTACATAGCAGCTCAGAAGCACTGCCTATGTTAGTTAG